CTGACAGAACTAAGTGAAAATAGACAAATCCACAATTACCTTTGGGCGCTTCAATAGCCACAGTAATTGAAAGAACCACTAAAAATATAGTCAGTAAGGATATAGAAGAACTGAACAATGCCATCAAACCATGGGACCTAATCGGCAGTCACAGAATACACCATCCAACAGCAGCAGAATACACATTCTTTTCAAGTGCACATGGGACAGTCACCAAGATAGATCATATTATGGGTCATAAAACAACCTTTAACAAATGTACGAAAATTTAAATCATTCAAAAATATGTTATCTGGCCATAATGGAATCAAACTTGAAATCAATAAAACAAAGACAACCAGAAAATTTCCAAACACTTGGAAATTAAACAACACACTGCCAAATAATTCATATGTCAAAGATGTATCAATTGAAACAAAAAATGCTGAACTAATTTAAAATTAAAATACAGCATATCACAATCTGTGTGATGCAGCCAAAGCAGTAGTGAGAGGGAAATTTATAGCACCAAATGCTTATATTAGAAAAGACAAACGACCTCAAATTCATAATTTAATTTATCACTTCAAAAAACAAGAGAAAGAAGAATAAGATAAACATAAAACAAACAAGGCAGTAATACAGATCAGAAGTAAATAAGATAGAAAAAAGAAAAAAAAATCAATGAAACAAAAAGCTGGTTCTTTGAAAACATCAACAAAATTCAAAAACCTTTAGCAAGACTGAAAAAAAATGACAAAAATTACCAATATTGAGAATGTATTACTACAGATGTCACAGACATTAAAAAGGCAATAAAAGGATACTATAAACAACTCTACGTATATAAATTTGACAACTTAGATGAAGTCGATCAATTCATCAAAAACACAAAGTACCACAACTCACCTGACATGAAATAGATATTATTAATAGTCCTATTAATGAAATTGAATTAGTAATTGAAAATTTTCTAAAGAGGAATCACTAGGCCTAGATCACTCCACTGCATTAAATGCTGCTGAAAAATCAGGTAAGACAAACAGAAATATGTTTATTATATTTAACAATATGTACAACCATGTAGAAAAGGCTGTATATTTAATGATGTCTATGGCAATAATAATAAGAGTCTTCAAGCAGACAAAATAAAGCATTGTAATTAAATGTGCAAAAGCCTGGAGTTAGAAAACCAAAAGGGAAGAACACACTTGGCATTTCTCAAGCTGAAAGAACTGAGGAAAAAATTCAAGGCTTTAGTTGCAATATTGGGAGAATCTATGGGCAAAATATTGAACAATGCAGGAAGAATCAAGAGAAGATGGAAGAAATGCAGAGAGTCACTGTACTGAAAAGAATTGTTGACACTCAACCATTTCAGAAGGTAGTATGTGATCAAGCACCAATGGTATTGAAGGAAGAAGTCCAAGATGCATTGAAGGCACTGGCAAAAACAAGGCTCTAGGAATTGACAGAATACTAATTTACATGTTTCAACAAATGGATGCAATGCTGGAAGCACTCACTCATCTATACCAAGAAACTGGGGAGACTGAAGGAAAAAAAAAAGAGGGAAGACAAAAATTACCAATACTGGCCAACCAACTGGAAGAGATCCATATTTGTGCCTATTCCAAAGAAAGTTGATCCAAAAGAATGCAGAAATCATCAAACAATATCATTAACATCACATGCAAGTAAAATTTTGCTGAAGATCATTCAAAAATGGTTGCAGTGGTAACGTTGACCAGGAACTGCCAGAAATTCAAGCTGGATTCAGAATACGACGTGGAAAGAGGGATATCATTGCTGACATCAGATGAATCTTGGCTAAAAGCAGAGAATACCAGAAAGATGCAACAGTTGGTAAACTGTGTTTAATCAACTATGCAAAGGCATTCGACTGTGTGGATCATAACAAATTATGGATAACTTTGCAAAGAATGGGAATTCCAGAACACTTAATTGTGCTTATGAGGAAACTGTACATAGACCGAGAGGCAGCTCATTTGAATAAAACAAAGGGATATTGTGTGGTTTAAATCCGGAAAGGTGTTTGTCAGGGTTGTATTCTTTCATCATACTTACTCAGTCTGTGTGCTGAGCAAATAATCCAAGAAGCTGGACTTTATGAGGAAGAGCAATATCAAGATTAGAAGAAGACTCATTAACAACCTGTGATAGGCAGATAACACAACCTTGCTTGCTGAAAGTGAAGAGGACTTGAAGCACTTACTGATGAGGAAGAAAGACTACAGCCTTCAATATGGATGGCACCTCAACATAAAGAAAACAAAAATCCTCACAACTGGACCAATAAGCAACATCATGATAAACGAAAACATTGAAGTTGTCAAGGATTTCATTTTACTTGGATCTACAATCAATGCCCATAGAAGCAGCAGTCAAGAAATCAAACAACATATTGCATTGAGCAAACCTGCTGCAAAAGACCTTTTTAAATTGTTAAAAAGCAAAGATGTCACCTTGAGGACTAAGGTACACCTGACCCAAGCCATAGTATTTTCAATCACCTCATATGCATGTGAAAGCTTGACAGTGAATAAGGAAGACCAAAGAATTGACACCTGTAAATTATGGTGTTGGCGAAGAATATTGAATATACCACGGACTGACAGAAGAACGAACAAATCTGTCTTGCAAGAAGTACAGCCAGAGTGCTCCTTAGAAGTGAGAATGGTGAGACATCGTCTCACTTACTTTGGACACGTTATCCGGAGGGATCAGTCCCTGGAGAAGGACATCATGTTGGTAAACTGTGGGGTCACCAAAAAAGAGGAAGACGCTCAATGAGATGGATTGAAACAGTGACTACAACAATGGACTCAAACACAGCAACAATTTTGAGAATGGTGCAGGACGGGGCAATATTTCATTCTGTTGTACACAGGGTTGCTATGAGTCAGAACCCACTCAATGGCATCTAACAACAACAAAAACATGGCAATATTTACAATAGTGAAAAGATAAACTCCTAAATGTCCACTAGAGGAATGTTAAGGAACTGCTGACAACCTTAATGAAATATCATGCAGTCATTAAAAATGATGTTTATATAGACTGTAATAACATGATAAATTCTTATTGGTCATAAATGGGCATAATTAAAATTGCATGTACTTTATGATTATGAATACATAACAGTAGCCTACATTTGGTAAATCTGGGGAACATATATTAAATGTGGTTTTTATCTTTTTGATAATTTCTATGTGGTAACTTTTTCTATATTTATAAAATTATCCTTAATGACCATGAATTATCTTCTTAATGGAAGAATATGTCTTTAAGCTTTTTTACATGACTGTGTTAAGTTATTCTTGGTCTGTCTTTTTTTCTATCATCTTGTATGAGTTGTGTATTTATATTTGGTCTTTGTCTAATCTTTTTATTTCATTTCATTTTATTTTATTGTGCTTTAGAGGCAGGTTTACAGAGCAAATTGCTGTGTGCCGTTGAGTCAATTCCAACTCATAGCGACCCTATAGGACAGAGTAGAACTGCCCCACAGGGTTTCCAAGGAGCGGCTGGTGGATTTGAACTGCCAACCTTTTGGTTAGCAAATTAGTTTCTCATTGAACTAATGAGAATTTATAAACAACTAGTGTTGTTTTATAGGCCTGTCTAATCTTTGGCTGAAGGCTAAACCTCAGGAGTGACTTCAGTACTGAGTTAAAATGGTGGCTGTGGGCCATATTCTTGGGGTTTCTCCAGTCTCTGTCAGACCAGTAAGTCTGGTCTTTTTTCATGAGTTAGAATTTTGTTCTACATTTATCTCCAGCTCTGTCCAGGACCCTCTATTGTGATCCCTGTTTTGTGTATTATATTTTATTTCCATCTTGTTCTTTCTTTCATAAAGAATTCTTCATTTAATCTTTTCCTCTGCAGTTATATGAAAGGTACATGTACTTAAAATTCTGAATAGTAAGATTTTCAAAAACAAAATAAAAATATCTATTATTTATTAAGTATTTGCCAGGCAAACCTATATTTCGCTATCAAAATAGTTAAATGTGAATTCTTCTGGAAGGCCTTCTCTATCATTACTTCTCCCCAAAATAGGCTAGGTTCCCTTATTAGACAATCCCACAGCCCCATTGACTATGCCCTTTCTGACACTCATCATAGCAATCTCAAATGTTCCTTTGTGTGTGGTTGACAAATTTCTAAGAAATCCAACAAGAGCGTTGTTGGAGAATCAGGGCAGAAGGAAGCTATGAAATTCTCGACTGGCCCTCATTATCTAAAAAGGCTTCTGATTTTTTATTCTAGAAATTCTCCATAATGACACAGTTGTCGCTATTCTAAAAATACCTTTTTAGGAATAATTCCAGCTTAATTAAACTTCTTATATCTATGAGAAAAGGAGGGAGCATATCAGATCTAGCTAGATACAAAGACAGTTTTTCTTAAAGTCTCCAGAAATCACTTGATTTCTGTCTTGAAAGAATACGTCATTTTGAAGGCAGGCTTTATGTAGAAAGAATTCTAACAGATTAGATATAGAAACTCTATTATGCAATTCACTGAGATTAAATCTAAGGATATTTATTTAAAGGCTCCTTGGTGGCACAGTGGCTAAGAGCTCGGCTGCTAACCAAAAGGTCAGCAGTTTGAATCCACCAGCTGCTCTTTGGAAACCCTATGGGGCAGTTCTGCTCTGTCCTATAGGATCGCTATGAGTTGAGTCGGAATTGACTTGCAGCAATGGGTTTTGGTTTTTATTCGAAAAAACAAAACAAAGCCAGTAGTCTCAGTTTACTGAGGATTCTGATTGTGCATGGTATTTTTTGATAAGTTGAAACCTTATTATGAATTATTTATAATTTGTAGAGTTCTAATGTGGAGGAGGTTTTATGCTAGGAAACAACAAAGCTGAATCCTGAAATCATGTTAAATTTATAAATGTCTTACCTAAAAATTCAATATATCATGCTAAAATTTCAGAATAATTTTGGTATTAAAAAAGTAAAAAGAAAATACTTATTTTGTTTTTACAGAATTCCATAATACTTACCAAGCAATTCACCGCTTTGGGACAGAAGCCTGCCATATATACAATTCTAAGGAGAAAACAGTATTTTCCAACGGAGCCATTGAAGAATGGGTATTTCATTTTTAAATTTCAAATATAAAATTCAGCTTTTAAATTAAATAAAATGAATATCAGAAACATAAAGTAAAAGAGAGTCTTAAAGCCCTAGTGGAATTATATGGAATATCTGATAATACAATTTCCAAGCAGCTTCTTTTATGATACATGAAACAAAATGTGGTTCACAAAACTTGTTGCAAAATCAGAAAATACCAGTTAGATTCCTGGGTTATAATTTCACAGTTTGTATTAATAGCTAAACCTCGATCCAAGAGCCTCGTTTGGCATGGTGACAAATTCTGGTTTTATATATATGTGTGTATGTGTGTGTGTGTGTGTGTGTGTATATATATATGTATATATATATATGAATGCTGGTTCATAAACATGAGCCACAGTGGTGTGACTGACATCACAATCACTACCTCCACCAGTGTAAACACACATACACACACCACAAATTCCACCTAAGAAGTAACATCCGTTACTGTTAAAGTTAATATGTTTTTGCTAAGTTTAGACCCATGCCCGCCTAAACTCACTGCTGTTGAGTTGACTCCGACTCATAGCGACGCTGTTGGACAGAGTAGGATTTCCAAGGTTGTAATCTTTATGGAAACAGACTGCCACATCTATCTACTGCTGAGTTTAGACAGCC